AAGACAACACATTTTAATGTGAGCCCATCCTCAACAACTAGAAAGCTCCTCTGTTTGTTGTCACCAGGGAAAAATGGGTTTGGCTAGGGAAGGAGGAGGTTGAGAGGGAGATGAAGAGGATAAGGAGGGAAGAGGCAGTCTGACTGCTTTGGTTTGAGTTTTTGTTTTTCTCCAGTGGTTGTGAAGGTGAACTTACCAAAGAGTAGGAGGTAGAAAACTTGGTGTCCAAGGTCACTAGATTCTGAAGTCCTGGGGTTCTTACCTATTACGTGCATGGAACCCAAAGCAGTCCAATGAAGCCTTTTCTCAGGAAAAAAAACAAATGTCTTATTTTCTCTTGCCAAATTTTTAACTTTTTATTTTGAAATAATTTCAAAGTTAGGGGAAAGTTAAAAGAGTAGTACAATCCAGATTCACAACTACTAACATTTTACCACATTTACATTCTCATTCTCTCTTTATATACATATATATGTGTTTTTAATATGCTTATTTATATACATATTATTATTATTTTCTGAATGGTTTGAGAATAAGTTGAAGACATGGTACTCCTTAATAATCTTTAAATACTTCAGTGTGTGTTTTCTAAAAATTAGGACATTTTCTACCTAATCATAGTATAATTATCAAAATTGAGAAATTAATACTAATGCAATATTATTTTTCAGATCTACAGATTTCACTCAAATTTCACTAGTTGACTTAATAATATTCTTTCTGGAAAAAGAAAAAAAAATGGTTTTCCGGTCCGAGATCATATGTTGCATTGAGTTGTGACATCTGTTTAGTCTCTTTTAATCTGGAACAGTTCTCAGTCTTTCTTTTCCTCCATGACTGACATTTTTGAAGAGTACAGGCCATATATTGTATAGAATTGGAAGGCACAGCTTCTGGTTATGCACAGAAGTGCTGCTGTGTCCTTCCCACTCTACTGTACACATGATGTTGGTTTATCCCATAGAGAGTGATGTTAATTGTTATCACTTGGTTAAGGTGGTATCTGTCAGACTGCTCCACTGTGAAATTACTATTGCTCTTTTTTGAATTAGTATGTATCTTATGGGGAGATTCTTTGAGATTCTGTAATTATTGTTTCTCATCAGAATTTCATCCACTAGTTTTAGGATCCATGGATCAATCTTGCCTGAAACAATTGTTACTATGTCAGTTGCCAAATGGCGATTTTCTAATTCCATCGTTCCTTTTACATTTATTAGGCGACATATTAATTCTTCTATAAAATGAGGCAACTGATATGCGCTGTCTAACTCAAAGGCTGTAGAGGATCAAATGAGACCTTCATGTAAACATGCAGCAAGGAGGGCTTCACTAATGGAAGCCATTGTTTAATATTACTTCGCTTGTGCTTGCCCCTGGCAAAACAAGACAACACAGAAACTTTCACTCTCTGCTCTAGGGAACATTAAACCCCATGAATATTCACCTCCTTCAAATAACTCCCATGGGAGTTTGGATTGCAATGAAGTCTACAGAATCCATGTGGGGAATATATCCCTTAAAATTTCCTTAAAATGTCTAAATACGTAATGTTGCAAGAGTTAGTTACACCAACCCCCTCCCTCAAAATTATACATTTTTGATGTAAATATTTGAGAAGGGGGAATCTTGCTACACGGACATTGATTTGCAATAAGTCAATAACTCCTACACAAGAAAAATTTGCGGAAGTTATACCAAATTATTAAACCATGATAGTCTAAAAACTTGACTACTTTAGAAATAGTCACAGCTATACCACAAGAATCAACTAGTTTCCCCAAACTTACCATATTTTAATATTTAATTCTGACTTTTTTGTGTGTATGTGTGAGGAAGATTAGCCCTGAGCTAACATCCCATGCCTATCCTCTTCTTTTTGCGGAGGAAGATTGGCCCTGGGCTAACATCTGTGCCCATCTTCCTCCACTTTATATGGGACGCCGCCACAGCATGGCCTGGCAAGCAGTGCCTCCGTGCACGCCCGGGGTCAGAACTGGCGAACCCTAGGCCGCTACAGCAGAGCGTGCGCACTTAATTGCTATGCCACTGGGCCAGCCCCAGCTTCTGACTTATTTTTATCAATTGACAATTCTTTTACCCTTTTTTTCATTAGCTATAGATCTTTTGGTGGCAAAAAAGATGAAAGCAGAGCCCAAAATTTCCTTAAGGAGTGAAGAATATACATTACATTGAGTCATTTTTTTATCTGAAATAATCTGTTCCCTATACAGCAGTAGAAATAAAATTGTGTGTATGTGTGCACATACGTGTGTGTGTATAATTTTATCTGTGTGTATGTTTATATTTCTTAATAGAGAAAGAAATATTTACATATAGAGGGGAAAAAATGGAAGAAAATGTATCAAAATTAAGTCAAATGTTATAAACATTACTTCCTTGTTTAATTTTTCTGTATTTGCTAATTTTTTTTTACCATGGGCATAAGTTACTTTTACAAGCAGAAAAAAATAAACAATTTTTAAAAATGGGTTAAAGGAAAAACCAAGAAATAATTGTAAAAAAATAAAGTTGAAATAGTTTATAAAATTTCTTGGCCTTGCAAGTACTTTTTAAACACTGTTCATGAACAGTCATGATTCCAGAAGCATCCATGAGGTCTGAACTTCAACTCAGGTCCTATTATTCTCCTCTATGAGGCCCTCAAGGCCCCTCCTTGATTCTAAGGCTGGGCCTGGATCAAGGGCAACGATATTGTGTGGATATAGGGCAAAGCAAGGAAACTTTCTGAGTCATGAGGGAAGGAAATAAAGTTTTTCCCACATGTGATGTTTTCTGTGACCCTTCTTCCTTCCACAGGCAGAGAGAGCCAACACAGGCCCAAGGTTGCTCCTACATGACGAGGGATATGATGCTCTTCCCTTGGGTTGCCCTATGGCTGTGAATTAGGAGGCCTGGGCCACCATCATGCTCCGACCTGAAGCAAGCAGGCAAAGACCCTCTGGTTCTTGCTCACTTCCCTCTATGGGGGGGCTTGCTCTTCCCCAGCTCCCATAAAAGTGATAGTGTTGGCTCTCTTTGTAAATAACAAACATTGCATTATATATGGAATTTTATACCTGAAAACAGTTTGAAATCTTTCCTTGAGATATTTTTAATATTACACTTTCAAATTAATATTACACTTAATTTCAATGATCCAATTGCCTGATTCAACCACAGCTGTCATTTTGTAGCCAAACCCTTGTAATAATTAGTGGAACTTTCAAGATGGCAATATATTTCAATGGTCACAACTATAAAATTAATACAGTATTCTTTCTTTAATGTTTATTTTTAATTCAAAAATAATTGTGATGCTATTTCTTTTTTTCTTTTTTTAGTTACGAATTATAGTTTAGTGTTTATTAGCAGCAAATAGGGATTTCACAGCCATTTTGTAGAATGAATCCAGGTAAAAAACTAATTTTCCTAGTAAGTAAATACTGCTAGTACTCCCAGGACTGTTTCACTAAAAGCTTCTAATATTGAAGCATCATTTCTTTAAAAGCCAATTTAAAAAAATCTTTAAGTCCAATTAAAAAAGAATCTTTAAATCAAGCATCATCATACAGGTTGATCTGTTGTTTAATGATTTTGTTCTGAAATTTTGAAAGGAGTAAATAAGAAACTTTGAAGCTAGTGTTGACTTGATCTACATGAGGAATCACAGGTATGTCACCAGGCGTCTCTGGCTCCTTCCTTAGGTTGCATTCCTGGGGACACAGCCGTCCAGGCTGATGAGTTACAGGGAGCCAGTCTGGCCTCTAGGAGTTAATCTTTTTTAGAAGATTTAGTAAATCCTTGTCTCAGTTTTGCTCCAGAAGCAGGGTCCACAGCTAATCCTAATAGGCTCTGTGTGCATCTCGGTGAGGGGTGAGACCTCTCCAGGGACTGGGACACTGGCGGCGGCCATTGCCGTGGCCTGGTGTGGGCGTGCTGACACAGACGCCATTGGAGTTCTCCCTGAGGCCTGCTAGCCCAGGCGTGATGCTATTTCTAAATTGGTGTAGTGAGTGTACATGAAATAAAATTTCCTTAAATTTTTTTTAAAGTGATATATGCTGAGGGGAAATGCAGGTGCAGGCTTCTGAGGAAAGAAGAAAAGAAGCCTTCTAAGCCTGTTTGATTTTAGGCCCCAGGCTCCCTCTAGCCCTGATAAAATTACTTTTCTAGGTAGTTCTGCTGCACTATGGTCAAAGCCTCACAGTTTTAAAGTATGAATTTGCTTTATTTTTTCCTCTGTACATGTGATTTCTTTTCTTACAAGAAGTTGGTGTCCAGAGAGGACAGAATTTGAGGATTCAGGATTTTGGTTTGCGATACTGTGCCCTTGGCCATCATTTCTCTCAATCTCTTCCCATTCATCTCACCCTCTCTTGGTGAACTCATTTGTGGCCTCAACACTTTAATATTCTCTGCAATGAGTAGTAATAGTCTCAGAGTTGAGTTGAAGGATGACCTTAACCATTTAAAATAAGAAAATGGAAACCAACTTAGAAATATTTTTATAGTGGCAACACCAAAACACTCTCCTTTTCCTGAAAACCTTAAAATAATTAAGAATCTGATAGAACAATCAAAATTGAATGACATGTTCTAATAGATTTTGAGTCTATTCTGCTCTTAGATTTCATGAAGTAGCAAGAGGTAAGATTTACATGAAAGTCTACCTTTCAGATAGATGAATTCACATATGAGATTAATGTGACATCAACCCAATACCCACGTCAACCCAATGACCCTTGTCTGCTTTGCCACTGCTCCTCTCTCTCTCTACCAGTTCCTTTCTCTGAATACTACTTGGCTAGTTTTTGCATTACTTTAGAGGAGTGGTTTGGCATTTAAATGGCCACCTTACCAACCAAATAAGAGTTATTGTTTTTTTAACTATCTATTTATCCACTCAAATGCATTAAAATATGTCAAGTTCATCAATCCCGGGTTATAATATCTTGATGGTTCTAATTTGAATTTTCTTTCTACTTTTGAACACTCAGGACATCATCTTCTTTTATTGTTTGAGAAAGGAATACCCCTGTCACATACAGGAGAAAAATGTTATTTTGGTTGTTAGCTCTCCTGATCCTCTGTGGTTTTCTGTGGAATTATAAAGGACAACTAAGGATTGAAAACATCACTGATAAGTACATTTTCATCACTGGGTGTGACACGGGCTTTGGAAACTTGGCAGCCAGAACTTTTGATAAAAAAGGATTTCATGTAATTGCTGCCTGTCTGACTGAATCAGGATCTAAAGCTCTAAAGGCAGAAACCTCAGAGAGGCTTCACACTGTGCTTCTGGATGTAACTGACCCAGAGAATGTCAAGAGGACTGCCCAGTGGGTGAAAGACCAAGTTGGGGAAAAAGGTGAGTGACATGGGGATAGGAAGAGAGGCGATGGGAGTAGCAAAGTAACTAAAGCTAAATAAAATGTGTTGGGATTTTAAATGATCTTTCAAGAAAAGATTCCTAAATACTAGCTGTGTACTGGAGAAGATTGGAGAAATCTTAGGATAGCCCCTGACTAGTTCCAAGTTGCAAGCTCTCTGTGTGCATGAGAGACACAGCCCAAGTTATCCTCAGTCTTGAGTCCCAGTGGGTGAATTTAGAACTGAGATGGAAGTATTGACTTTTCCTTGTCTTCTCCCATGAAGTGCTACCCTAGCCACATTCACAGCAAAGGAACTTGGGGCTACAATCTATAGGAAAACAGGGGAGCAATACCCGAAATTGCCATATGGATACCTGGGCCCCACTTTTCACTACAAAATTGCTCCATAACCTGTACATTTTCAGTGGGAAAGGCAGAAAACAGCCTGAGAATTTGAGTAGAGGTGTCTTAGATAGTAATGAGACAGTAGTGAGCCATTGGATCTCATCCTGCGTTAGATTCTGCTAAGACGGCTGCCTTCTGAACTAGAGGACTTTTACTGGCTTGAGTGAAGTTTGAAATATTCTAACGGATGAAGATATTTGGGTCCACAAAGGAAAAAAAAAATGTATGTGATTTTTCTGTATCACATCTTCACCATATAGTTGAGACTCTGATGCCCAAAAGCAGCGGTTTTATAAGGCTCCAGATCATTTTTAAAGCTTAAATTCCAAACCCTTTTACCACTATTAAATGTTTCCCATCATAAAATAAGGAAGTAAATGATGGAATTTTTTTACCAAAAATTAATGTGAAGCAGATTGATGTTGCTCTTTGTCCATATAGAACAGTTTATAAATATTCTCTGGCCTTGCCATCTAGCAAGGTAGGAAAAATAGACCAATTCACTCTTCATCTGAGATTAGAAAGCAAAACATCTCACTGAAACAGTATCAGTATTTGACATTCAGAACCAGAAACAGGGTAATTGTGAGACTGGCTTCCAGTAACACAACTTCAGCTATTTCAATTTAGCCTCCTACACTCTCTGCTACCAATTCCTAAAACTGCAAAGTATTTCAAAGCAGGAGTATGACTAGGAGAAAATAGTACCATTGTGTAAAGCAGGGGCTGTATTTCCAACAAGGACGCCCATATAAGTGTCACCTTCTACCACACCTCCTTTCCTTCCTCTCTGTTCCAGGTCTCTGGGGTCTGATCAACAACGCTGGTGTTCTTGGTGTGCTGGCTCCCACTGACTGGCTGACGGTGGAGGACTACAGAGAACCTATTGAAGTGAACTTGTTTGGACTCATCAATGTGACATTAAATATGCTTCCGATGATCAAAAAAGCTCGAGGGAGGGTTATCAATGTCTCCAGCATTGGGGGTCGACTTGCGTTCTGTGGAGGGGGTTATACTCCATCCAAATATGCAGTAGAAGGCTTCAATGACAGCTTAAGGTAAAGCAAACATTGATATATTATTAAGAAATAGCTGCTAACATTTATTGAATGTTTATTATGTACCAGACACTCTGTTTGGTGCTTTAAATTATTCCCAGTTTATAGATGATACCACCGAAACTAAGAGAGATTAAGTAATTTGCCGAAGGTCACCCAGCTGTTAAGTGGTAGAACTGAGATTTGTGCCTAAGTCTATTTAAGTCTTTTTTACTTTTTGTATTAATGCATGATGCAGATAGTGGTGGCAAATTCATATTCAACAAGCCAATTTGTTAAATAGTTAGAGAATCATGGAGAGAGGCTAAATCAGGGTAGCTCTCTCCATTGGTGTTACTGTTGGTTTCAGACACAACAGTACTATCTTGGTTAAGTCCTCAGTAGAAAATTATCTGGTAAAGTAAATGTAATTATCACAAAGTAATGACTCAGCTATGCAGCTTTTTTTTTCTCTTATTGCAAATTCTGGTCCCAAATCTCCATACATCTCAGACACTATAGCTAAACGGAAGGTAACCTCCCCACCCTCAACCCAAGGACAAGAAAAACAGCTTTCCTTTGATGCTTCCATTTCCAAATGAAACTCAGAACAGGAGTTGGCTAATCAGAGGTGAAGATTTCACTACCACAAGAAAGCACTGACCACATCGTTTTGCTCTGTCCTACCAGGGAACTCCAGAGCATAAAACAGAAGACAAATTTACCAAACAAAGTTCCTCAACTCAATGCCTCAGGCATGGATTTCTTTGGGGTTACAATGTTTGAGGTTCACTGGGCTTCTTGAATCTGTAGGTTTATGTCTTTTGCCAAATTTGGGGAGTTTTCAGCTATTATTTCTTCAAACATTTTTTCTGCAATCCACTTTTCTCTTCTCCTTATGGGACTCTAACACAAATATTAGACCTTTGGTTTTGCCCCACAGATCCCTAAGGTTCTGTTCACTTTTTCAATCATTTTTCTCTCTGCTGTTCAAATTGGATAATTTCTAATGGTCTTTCTTCACATTCACTGACATGCCTTCATCATCTCCGTTCTGCTATTGAGTCTGACCAGTAAATATTATATTCTGGTTATTGTATTTTTCAAGCATAAAATTTTCATTTGGTTCTTCTTTATATCTTTTCTTTCTTTTATGAAGCCTTCTAACTTTCCATTTACTTCAAGACTGTTTTCCTTTATGTCCTGGAGCATTTTATAATAGCTGCTATAAAGACTTTGATAATTCCCACATCTGGGTCACCTTGGCATTGGAATCTGTCCATTCTCTTTTCCCATGTGAGTTGAGATTTTCCTAGTTCTTTTTATGCATTGTATGCTGACTATTTGGAATAATATGAGACTATGAGTCTTATGGAGAATGTTGAAATTTTTGTTTTAGCAGATGATTGACCAAGTTGTATTCAAGTAACAACTTCCAACCAACTTTCTGTGGTTTGAGATTCCAAAGTTTCTTCAGTTTTCAAAGGCTTTGTTGTGATATTCAGATATGTCCCACATACATACTACACAGTAGCCAGTCTGAGATGTGGAAGATGGTCTCTGTCTCACAGTTCAGTTCTCTAAGTAAGATCCACACGTGCACTTCTGCAGTGCATAAACAATGTTATGGGGTCACGTTCCTTAGCTCTCCACTTTCTATGATCTCCCCAGTTTCTTGTTCCCTGGGACTACCCTCCAACCAGAAGTTGCCATTCTGCCATCCACATCCCACATGTGTGATGGGCATGGGACCACGTGAAGGGAGGAAAGAGAGAGTCAAAAAGCAACAAGGTTTCTTCCCACTCTCTTGGGACCACAGTAACTTTGATTGGAGAGGAAGGTTCCCCTCCTTCAGAGTTTTAGGCATCTACAGGCCCCTATTTCTGTCACTGTTGCTGTTGATACCGCCATTGCCACAAAATTATTTGGGGACTGGGCTAAGAGAGAACAGAGAAAAGAAAGGAAAGAAGGAAGGAAGGAAGGAAGGAAGAAAAAATGGAAGGAGGGAAGAAAGAAAGGATATCCCCCAGTCTCCTTGAGTGTTAGTATTCACCTTGCCAACTCCTCAAGCCAAAACAATGGGCTTCTCTTGCAGTTCTCTCTGTTCATGAATGGTGTCTCTCCTGGAACTCTTTCCTTCTACTTCTGAGTTTTGGGTTGACTTGAGTCCAGATCAGGGGGTCCCGAGTGGAGGAAAAACAGGAAACACATGGTTGGTTCAGTGATACTTCAAAATCTGCTCTTCTTCCCTAATTCACCTACAATAGTCCTGTTACTGCACAAAATTGGGATTCTCTTGCTGGATGCACATAAAAAAGCCAATTATTACAGCATTGGCTTTTGGGAAAAGAAATGTAGCTTTATTTTGCAAGATCAATCTGCAAGGAATTAGGGGACGCATGCCCTCAGATCTGTCTCCCCAATCCAGGGCTTGGGGCACAATTTATGAGATGAAGGGCAGGGCAGTCTGAAGTGTGGAGATACATGGTTGGAGGTAAGGAGAAATGAGGTAATTGATGATCTGTGCAAGCATAGTCAAGCTTCATGCCTCTTCATGGGGCACATGTTCACAAAACGGCAGTATTACCATGATCTGAGGGTGAAGGTTTTAGCTCCTTGTTGTCAAAAAGGTCACTTATTGAGAATTTGCTCAGGCCCAGTTGATGGGTTGGTGGCCTCAACTGGCCTGAACTAGACAAAAGGTCTCGGTTCCTTAAAAACCATTCTTAATTACTCTGTTGATAAGATGAGGTCAGTTGAACTGGTCCTTGAGGGCCTGCAGTTACAGTTATTAGCTGTTTCACTTTCCGCAGTTTCAGTTCTCTGCAGTCAACTACCATCCAAAAATATTAAATGGAAAATTCCAGAAGTAAACAACTCACAAGTTTTAAATTGCTTGCCATTCTGAGTAGCACGATAAAATCTTGCAGCATCCTGCTCTGTCTTGCCCGGTACTAACTCATCCCTTTGTCCAGCATATCCCCGATGTATACGCTACCCTACTCCCACTGTTAGTCATTTAGTAGCCATCTCATTCGTTAACAGATGGACTGTCAAGGTATCGCAGTGCTTGTGTTCAAGGAACTCTTATTTTATTTAATAATGGCCCCAAAGCCAGCTTTATTATCAGTTGTTGTTAATCTCTTACTGTGCCTAATTTATAATTTTATTTATTTATTTATTTTTCCCCCAAAGCCCCAGTAGATAGTTGTATGTCATAGCTGCACATCCTTCTAGTTGCTGTATGTGGCACACGGCCTCAGCATAGCCGGAGAAGCAGTGCATCGGTGCACGCCCGGGATCCGAACCCGGGCCACCAGCAGCAGAGCACGTGCACTTAACCGCTAAGCCACGGGGCCGGCCCTGTGCCTAATTTATAAATTAAACTTTAGTCTAGGTATGTATGTATAGGAAAACATAGTATATATAGGGTCTAGTTACCGTCTGCAGTTTCAGGCTTCTACTGGGGGTCTTGGAACTATCCCCCACGGATAAGTGGGGACTACTGTAGTAACATTTGCTTTTCAGATTTCTTACATAGCTGGCCCATGCATTCTGTCCAGGTGTTGTACCTGCATTCAGTGGGACAGACAGGACTGTGTGTGCTTAATCTGTCTTCCCTGAAACCAGAACTTACCACCATCAATTCAAAGCCCCTAAATTGCAAGTGGTTGTATCAGTCAAGGTTCTGGTAGAAAATGGAGGCACCTTAAATTGGGTAAATGGACCAGAGTTTACTTAAAGGACTAGTTGCAAACATGGAAGTTGTGTAAGGAAATCCCAAAGGATAATGTAGTATCTAGGGGCTACTGACAGCAGGGACTGTCCATAGGACTGAAGGGACAAGGAGACAGGGCAGTATCCAGAACCTGGATACATAGAGGCTGTCACCTTCAGTTGAGGGATGAAATTAACCTGTGCCGACTCCACAGGAGGAATAAGTAGCCCTATCTCTTGTCTCTCCCTCTGGTCTCCCACTGGTACTCCCAATTGACTATACCCAACAGAAGCCAAAATATAGTTAATACAGGTCAGCTTCCCAGGATACAGTTCAAGCAGAAGGGTGAAGGAGACTAGAGAAGCAAATGGAAGGTATCCGGCTGAGTGGTCATGTAAGAGGCACAAGAGAATACAAAATTAGGTATAGGCTTTTCTTTAATTCATCCATTTATTTATTCAACTAGTATTTGTTGAAGGCACATGTTAGAGCTTATGATCTATACTATGGATCTAGGTTTAGCTTACTAGTAAAAGGTTAGACTATTCTATTGAGATTAATAAAGATAGAGCAACTCCGTTTTGCCATTTAATCAGGTAGCCAGGTTTGATTCTTCCAGGAAATAAACACGATAATGTTATAACAATGCTTCTCAAACATTAATGTGCATATGAATCATCTTGATCTTGTCAAAATGCAGATTCTGATTCAGGGGGTCTGGGGTGGGGCCTGAGTTTCTGCATTTCTAATGAGCATCCAAGTGCTACTTATGCGTCAGGTCTGACACTTTGAGGAGCAAGGTTGTGAAGAACCTCCATTAGTCTGCTTGGTTGCTTTTTGGTTCCACTCTATCAGCAACAGTACCTTAATAAAATTTTAGCATACTTAGACATTTACTCACTTTTTTTTTTTTTTTGGTGAGGAAGATCAGCCCTGAGCTAACATCCATGCTAATCCTCCTCTTTTTGCTGAGGAAGACCGGCTCTGAGCTAACATCTATTGCCAATCCTCCTCCTTTTTTCTTTTTTCCCCAAAGCCCCAGTAGAGAGTTGTATGTCATAGTTGCACATCCTTCTAGTTGCTGTATGTGCGACGTGGCCTCAGCATGGCCGGAGAAGCGGTGCATCGGTGCGTGCCCGGGATCCGAACCCCGGGCTGCCAGCTGCGGAGCGCGTGCACTTAAACACTAAGCCACAGGGCCGGCCCTGAGATTTACTCACTTTTAAAAAGAGATTTCAACTGAAAGGTTTGTAGGATTTGCAAAGCAGCTATACCATGCCTGAGAGTAAGCAGTGAAGAATGCTTATTTCTCTCAAAATCATGGAACTGGCATTGGAAATGGTATTGTGCATGCAGGCCACAGTCCAGTGGTGGCTCCAGAATTTCTATATATAGGAGGTTGGACTCTACAGTTTCTTGTACAGTCCAATTGCAAGAGGGCTGAGACCTTTTAAAGCTGTAATTGCCCAGCAAGCATACTAGTTTCATACTGGTTTTACTTACCTGGTAAGCTTAGTTGGGTGACTTTAAGCAATTTGTCCCTAGATTGTTTGTTATTTTCATGAGTGGGTAGAGAGACAAGTCTTCCCAAATACCCACTTGGCCCTGTTACTGTCCAAAATCCAAAGGAGATCAGATGATAGGTGAGTAAAATATAATTAAGTTGGAAAATAACCATTTTTTTTAATGCAGGCAATATGCCTTTCAAAATCTTTCAAGGTCAAGCTAATTTGCATTTTTGTAAAATATACTTCAAACTAAACAATAAGTATATTGCTAGAAAGCAGAACCTAAGATTGACTAAATAACATTTTTTTACTGGTAGAGTTCTTAAAATTTTTTGTGGCGAAGTCTTCTGTAAAATGAATAATTACTTTCTTATATACTCCTGGTGGAAATATAAATTAAATGTAGGAAATGATCATTCATGTTATGGTTTATAATACATTGGTTTGCTTTAAAGAAAGAGGCACCATGATTCCGCTAAAACCTTGTTGCCCAGTAAATGAGTAGACTTTAGGTTTTCTGAGGCCATATGATAAAAGAGCTTGCTGAGCAGCATAGGAAGCAGCTTAGTCGTGTCAGGGATTGTCGCATTGTGTCTCTTAGCGTATTCTCATTTGTGATGCAATCTCCTCACGTTCCTAGAATGAATGTTAACTTGTCCATCCAGGCCAGTCGTTAGTTGATTTCACCATAAGGTGCTCTGAGTACTGAGAAGAAACCTGTCCTTAGTCCAAGTGCTTGTCAACTAACAAGAGAGTATGGTTTAGGGGGAATACTGGACTGGGAGTAGGTCCATCCAGATCTCTTTCCTGTTCTTCCTCTAAACCAGCCCTCACTTTACCACTCTGAACATCAGTTTCCTGTAAAATGAGGGGGGGACAACAAAATTCTCCTTTCCAATGCACCCAACTCTGTGATCCATGAAAAGATTCACAAGAAAATAGTCATCCAAACAGCAAACATTCTCCAAATAAACCTGATTAAACATCTTCAACGGGTTCTTTTCACAGGCGGGACATGAAAGCTTTCAGTGTGCACGTCTCATGCATCGAACCAGGATTGTTCAAAACAGGACTGTCAGATCCAGTAAAGACCACTGAAAAAAAACTTGCCATTTGGAAACATCTGTCTCCAGACATCAAACGACAGTATGGAGAAGGTTACATTGAAAAAAGTGAGTTTCTAGGCGAACACAGCATCCTCTGAGATTTATTATCCTAAGCAGCGTGAAGGAGATTCAAACATAAAGGAAAAAAATAAGGTTCCCATAGTAATACACCAATAGGGATCTTAAATACAGATCAGGGATCCCTATAAATTCCAGTGTCATTGCTTGCTTCTCCGAGTGTTTATAAACATTTACTGAGCATTTACTAAGTGCCAAGTTCATACTAAGTGCTTTATGAATTTACTCCTCATTTACTCCTCATTTACTCCTCAAAAGAACTACAGAAGTAGTGAGCAGAGGATTGGGAAGGTGAAATATCCTACCCAAGGTTATACAATTCCTCCGGGTCATGCCCGGACTGGCGCCCACAGTCTTTGCTTCTACATAAAACTCCTCTTTTTGGTAAACTCCAACCTCTGACTCATCACTGTTCCAGGATTTATGGAGGTTACATATATAAAGACTCAGATTCTGACCCTTAACTAGCTTACAATCTAGTTTAAAAACAAAAAGTAACCAAGTGAGACAGTAAAACAATGAGATTGTACAGCATGCAAGAAAATTGATGCCTTACTTATTAGACATAAGCCAACAGCCCAGAAGGGTGCTAGATATTGTGGTCTCTAATTGCCCAAGGAATTCCGATCAGGAAAAAAACATTGCTGGTTAAGAAGCCTTTATGGGACAGGTCAAGTTTGAATAAGGCATAAAGGACAGGAAGGAATTATTTGGGTAGAAGCCTTCTGGAGCAGGAATGCATGAGGAGTGGAGATGGAAGGAGAAGTAACTTAAGTCAAGAAATTGAGTCAGGGATGGAGGAATGATAATAAAGATTAGACTAGGATGACTAATACATAGTGAACATTTGCTATGTACTTGTCACCATTCTAAGAGCTTTACATGGACTCTCTCATTTAAAATGCCCAAATAAACCTTATGAAGTAGATACCACCTTAATTTTATAGAAACAGAGGCACAGGGAAGTAACTTGCCCAAAGTTGCACAGCTAGTAAGTGGAAGAGTTAGATTTGAACCCAGGCAGCCTGCCTTTGTCATTTATTCTTGGGCACCACACTAAATGTGAAACTTCCTATATCAGGGCTCCACCTCCACCTCAAACTTCCTGGTCCTGTTAAAGTTTACTTGATGTTCCTCAAACACTTAGTAAGCTCGTGCTTTGAGTTGAACAGGGTGCCACCTCACTTTGCGTCACTATATCTCTCCTCACTGTGATCTCGCCTCTTCATCAGAGCGCTTGGGAAGACAGCCAACTGTGGCAAGGTTCAAGGCCAAGAGTTCGCAAGGTGGTGTCAAGAGCCAAGTCATATCTACCTGAGGAGACACATACGCACAGATGCACACGTGTATCAACTAGAATGACTGGTTTGACAAAACTTCCAGTGCTGACATGTCACTATAGGTTTAGAACCACTCCCATTAAATGCTCTATTTCTCACTTACTTACCAACTTGGAAGGTTCTAAGTAGGTTGAGAAACAAAATCCCTCATTTAAAAGCGCTTTCTCTGTTTGATATTGACATTGATACTTTCTAAATGCCTATGAATATATCATCAACCTTCATCCCAAAATTATTTTTGACTTGGCCCCTGGTCCAACTGTCCTGTCTCAGAAGTACCAAAAGGCTTTGAGCCCAGTTTTGACTTGTTGTTCTTATTAGAGTTTTCCAAGTCAGGACTTGGAGATCAGCCAGACTCAAGGTTCTAAAGTAGACCACAAATTAAAGCTCACATTTCTTCACTTCCCAGGCTGGAATAGTAGGAGTTTAAAATAGCCACTAAGACATATTAGGTGACTTCAATTAGGCTCTTTGAACAAATTGTGGCTACTGGGGCCTAAAGTTGAAAGGAAGATTTAGAATAATAGATATTCCCTTGAGAAGACACAAATCAGGTATGTGTTAAGAGCATAGGAGGAACTGTCCAAGCCATTACCAATCCCTTGATAAAATACTTGCTCTTTAAAGGTATCTTAGCTCATCACTCAAACACTTCATTTGTGTGAGAACCAGGATACATTTAGCTTCCTGAGTCAGGGCTTTTGGGGGATGATTCTCTCTTTATTCACTGAATTATAGAGGCACATGGTATATGACCACACACACACACATGCATACCCACATTTCCTATAAACATGGTACTCCCTTAAAACAAATTTGGAATCAAACCCATAACTTCCTTGGCTCAGGGGCCTAATGGACTTTATGAAGTATCTTTCCCTCATTGCTTTAAAGTATTGCTTCTCAAAGTTTGGTCCCTGGGGCCAGCCCCATGGAGTAGTGGCTAAGTCCTATGCACTCTGCTTCGGAGGCCCGGGTTTGCAGGTTCGGATCTCAGGCACGGACATACACCACTAGTCAAGCCATGTTGTGGCGGTGACCCACATACAAAATAGAAGAAGATTGGCACAGATGTTAGCTCAGGGCCAATCTTCTTCAAGCAAAAAAAAGAGGAAGATTGGCAACAGATGGTAGCTCAGAGTGAATCTTCCTCACCAAAAAAAAGTTTAGTCCCTGGACCAGTGCCATCAACATCACCCGGAAACTTGATTAGAAACGCAAATTCTTGGACCCCACTTTACACCTACTGAGTCAGAAACTGGAGGTGGGACTCAGCGATCTGGGTTTTAACAAGCACTCTAGGAGATTCTGCTGTCCACTCAAGTTTGAGAGCCAGCAGTCTAAAGAAAACACTACTACATCCTTTTCTGAGGGACAGATAGAAACCCATCACAAGATGCTGCAACTATAATGGCAAATTCAAAGTAAATTCCTGCACATGCATCATCCCCATTGCACCCTAGCCTCACACAGTCCTTTTCCTCTTCTTCCAAAGCGTGAATATGCTTTTCCTCTTTTCACAGGTCTAAACAAACTGAAAGGCACTGTATCCTATGTGAACATGGACCTCTCCTTGGTGGTGGAGTGCATGGACCATGCTCTCACGAGTCTCTTCCCTAAGACCCGTTATGCTGTTGGAAAAGACGCCAAGACTTTCTGGATACCTCTGTCTCACATGCCAACAGTTATACAAGACTTTTTATTGTTGAAACGGAAAGCAGAACTGGCTAATCCCAAGGCAGTGTGACTCAGCTGACCACAAATGCCTGCCCCAGGCTAAGAAATTGGTTGATTTCAAGGACACATCTCCTTTTCAATACTTGGACTCATTTAGATCACCTTTCTTTTGATAAATGAAGGGATCGCATCATCACTGGTGACGTCCCAGGGTCCCTTCTCAAGCCTTCAAAAAGAAGGGCAGGGATGGCTCCTGCCCGATATTTAGGTTTTACCTGCTTGGTATGATGTAAGGGAAATTGAAAGTCTTTCCCATCCAAAATGATCTCCACTGCTGCCTGCCCCACACTTCTAGTCCCCACCACTTAGAGTAACTCCTGAATGTTAAATATTTGTCCCTTATCAAAATGTTCAGAGGTAAGTAGAATACTTTCATAAGTGGATTAGACACGTTCTGTTATCTTGCTAAGAAGAGCTTTGATGGGGCAGGAGAAGGAAGGATAAATGAAGCCTTACATATGTGACTGGTATAAGCGAAGGGGCAGCAGAAAAACACTAGGTAGGACTGCCAGTAGGAGGGAAGGAAAAGAGGAAAAGGAATAAGAGGACTAAAAAAAAAGAAACTGGTAAAAAGTGGAGGTAGGGAAATTCCAAGACAAGCCTGCCTATTCTAGAGGGAGCTATGGAGGATGAGCAGCCTATTCAAGGCCACTGTGAACATTGATGCACACACAGCTGTATGTGGAAAGATGGTAATAACAGAGTAACCAATCATTCCAAAAGAAAAAAAAGTGGGGTATTTATGTTTATTCTGGTGATCGTAAATGTAACAAAACCCAGAATATCTGATACAACTTACACCTGAGATGGTTGGAAATCTTGTATTTGAGGAATCTCTGAAGACCCATGAAGATATAGAACTAAATTAAAAGACTCTCTTTAGCCTACAGTTACAATGAGAGCAGGTCTGCTCCTTGCTCATACTCATAGTTCTAAATTGAATTGATCCTGAGTCCACACCTCATCCAAAAGAAACAGTTCCCTCACTGGGTGCTTCCCCAGATGTACCCAGTATCACTCAGAGGTTGGTTGAATACTTACATGAAAAAGTCTGAAGTATCAAAATTCAACATTTGTTGTAGAATAATGTAGGGTGAAAGACCCAGAGAAATTATCCAGTGGGCATGAACACACACACACACTTAACTTATTGTGAAGAAAATAATTACTATCTGCTGCTTGAAACCATGTCCATTTGAAGATATCAGTAATTCTATTCATTTTCATTCACCTTTCTGGAAACATCTGCTTATGAGGTAATTTTCTCCTTTCACATTTACAACATATTGATGCCTTTGAAAAATCAAATTTCCAATGGTGTCAGTCTACCTGGATATATATTTCATTATTTTGAGGGAAGATACACTCATCCTTTTTGTGCAAAAATGAAGAAAATCACAGCAAGAATCAGATAGAAGAAGTCTCAGGCAAAGTTATCTAAACTATTGTCACTACCTACCTGTGAAGTCATCTCCATCTTGGCCCTAGCCCCAGAGAGAGATCGCCTGTAGATCTCTGATTTCTTCTGGTTGCAATTAACCACCTGTGGGTCAGTTACCTGCTCTCACTCAGCTTGTCCTCGGAGCTGAAGTTCACCAACATTGTTTGCTGGGGCTCCTCCTTCTCATCTTGAATTCTCAGATGTTGGCTTCATGTCACTACCTTAAAAATGTCTTGCCTGCTGCTCTCTGACCCTCTATGCCTCCAGGGCTGCCTAGACTTTTAGAATCTGCAGGAACCTCCTTCAGTGAACTTGCAACCAATTCCAGTCGTAACTAATAGTGTTATTTCCTTTGTTTTGCCTAAACCAGAGTTCTTTGCTCATTTCTCCAAGTAACTACAATTGGTAACTCCCTATTTCATCCACCCAAAAAATGCTCGACTTAAATAAATGCTCCCAAATATGGTATCACCTCCAAATAAAACCAAATATATTCACCCAAGCAATTTTTAAAGCTTTTTAAACTAAATGAGAAGGTAGGGTTATTTGCAGTATAAAGGCATAGTCTCAATGAAAGCACAAGACGAGGGACGGAGGAACATCGGAAGATCCCTGCACCAGGAGTCTGAGGTATGGCTTCCTAGCCTTCTCTCCATCTCACCGTCGCTTCTTATATTCTCTGTGCTCTGTGCTTGTATGTTGGGAAAGCATCATATTTTTATCTATAACATTTTGGAGGACATATGTGCTGGGCACTCTGCTAAGTATTGGTCTATGCTAAGGAACAAATGGACACGGTCCCTTCATTCACAGAGCTTAATATAATCCAAAGACTGAGGCCACTACTCAAGATGCCTTAGAGGAGCGTCTCCAGGAATCCATGGTCAAGATGAATTCAGATGTCTTCTACTGCCTCTAGCTTGGGGGATCCTTCCTCACTTAGTTTGGAGGGACCAGGAGAATTTCGCAGACTCTCCCTCTGATGTGATCTAAAAATCCAACTGCGTCCTCCACAGCTCTATCTGGACATCCACAATATATTCAAATCTGGAGTTTCTATCTCCCTTGCCGCTCCTACCGTTTCCCAGTCTGGCACCATGTCAATTTTATCTCCTAAGGAGATCTCAAGTCCATCTACTTCTCTTCATCTCTCGTGTGATCACGCAATAGCAGAGCATATTTACCCTTGCGAACCTTCAGTGATTTCTCCTCACTGCAGTCAGAATTGTTCAAAATTAAAATCTGATCATTCTGCTCTTCTTTCCTCCACCACTTTCTCAAACTCCTTAATGTGTTCCCATTGCTCTTTGGCTAACGACTAAAATGCATAACATAAACTACGTTGCCCCGGCACTCCTTGTTAGCCTCACTTTAGGCTACTATCCTCCTTATTTTGCCACCTCAGGGCCTTTGCCCATGCTCCTCCCTAGAAAGTTCCCATTTTTGCCTGCTTATCTAGTTTCCTCATCCTGCAGATCTCAGCCCCTTCCTCAGGGAAGCCCATACAATTCCAAATTCTGACCACTACCTTTTCATCCGAACTAGGTTCCCATCTTATACATTTTCACCATGCCCTGTAATTTATTTCAGGGCACTTATCACAGTCTGTAATTATATATTTATATGGTTAGTTAACATTGGCCTCCCCTATCAGATTTTAAGTTCCATCAAATCAGGAACCATGATGCTTTGCTTATCTTTGTATTCCCTTGTCTAGCATTTGCTGGCACATAGACCAGTGTTCAATAAATATTTGTTGAATGAATTCAGAAATCAGCCTAGGGTCCGGCTCGGTGGCGTAGTGGTTAGGTGAGTGCGCTCTGCTGCGGCGGCCCAGGGTTAGGATCCCAGGAGCACACTGACACACCACTTGTCAAGCCATGCTGTGGCGGTGTCCCATATAAAATGGAGGAAGATGGGCACAGATGTTAGCCCAGGGCCAGACTTCCTCAGCAAAAAGAGGAGGATTGGTGATAGATGTTAGCTCAGGGCTGATCTTCCTCACAAAAAAAAAAAAAAAAGAAAAGAAAAGAAATCAGCCTATATTAGCCTTTCTGACTAAATGGCAATCTATCACCTAAGATTAAACTTGCCAACCCCATTAGTGGTGCTATCAATGTGTCAGTCAATTAAAGTCTTGTTACTTCCTTAAGCCTTTGAGTACTTCCACAAGGACTCCCTACCTCTGGCTCTGCTATCCGCCTCCTCTCAAAGACTAGTCAGTGTTGCCATAGTGATTTCCCAAGACCTGTTGATCCAGGGACACCATGAAGGAGCCTCCCTCAGTGCTGAGCCATCTTGGCCCAGTGGTCACAAACAAAGCATCAGAAATCATTTAGTCCATTTCTCTGCCTGTGGGCAGGACATGTCAAAGCCATCCAGGCTGAAGAGGATCTCTTCAATTTAAAACCTCTCTAGAAACTCCATAACTTCTGTGGGCAACCCAGCCAATATTTAATGAAGAAAACTTCTAGGAGCTTCTAAGAAAAACGATCAATTTTTGCTCTTCTCCACACTATTAATCCCAATAATTCTCAAAAACATGAGAGATCAGTCCTAGCAGTGTGGAGGAAATAGCTGAACATTCTCAAAATGAAAAGCTTTTTAATATTTAGAAATTATTTGTGACAACTTAATCAAAGCAACAGTTTATAAGGACAATGCTGGCCAACGGTTTCATGAATTTTTGCATGTTGAAAAATAAGACAATTCTGTTGATATTCATAATACTGACATACTTCCTCAACTCTGTGGTTCATTTTTAAAAAGAAAATATGAGTAGTTTTCATCCTAGTATGAGGCACTAAAACAGCCAGGGCTTTAATGTGGATTCTGGTTTAGGAGAGTTTCTAAGCTCTTTTTGCACACAGCACCTGCAAAAAAAAACAGATCACAGCTCTTGTCTGATTAGTCCCTGGAAATAAACAGCACTCCAGCCCGGCTAAGTCAGGCAAGGGCAATAGCACTCTGTCACATTCTACAACCAGCAACCGCCTGGAACAGTTCCATTTCAGTTCCTTTTGAGAAATTGGAAATGGAAAGGATTCTGCTATGGATATATAGCATAAGCTCTGGACAAAGCCCATCCAGTCCCATGCCTAGGGAGAAGATTTACTCTCAGTCCCCTGGGTCTGTTTTTTCCTACTAGATATGGCAACTAGAACTTGAGTATGATGCTACCCAGTGAATGCTGGTGCCTGGGTTATGGATCAGGTAATCCAAGGAACCTGGTTTCCCACAGGTATAATATGAAAAATACTAGTCATGGTTATTTAATACTCAGTACGTCAGGTTCTTAATGCATTGGACTGTGCATTACATGAATGATTTCACCTAACCCCAATCATATCTCAGGTATGATATTGTGTTTATTTGTTTTTAATGTGTTAAGAACACTTAACATGAGATCCATCCTCTTATCAGAGTATTTTTCTCAACTTCAATATTGGGTCTATAAAAATAAAACCTTTATTAAATTAATCTAACGTGAGTCTTGCCTAGATAGTAATGATTATGCATGAATGATGCATAATTTTGAGCATATGTAAATATATACTATTTTTTGTTTTCCTATATTCTATTTTAAAATTTTTCTCACTTATGATAAAATAACAAAAGCATTTTTTTGTGTGTGTGAGGAAGATCAGCCCTGAGCTAACATCCATGCTAATCCTCCTCTTTTTGCTGAGGAAGACCGACTCTGAGCTAACATCTATTGCCAATCCTCCTCCTTTTTTCCCCCAAAGCCCCAGTAGATAGTTGTATGTCATAGTTGCACATCCTGCTAGTTGCTGTATGTGGGATGCGGCCTCAGCATGGCCAGAGAAGCGGTGCGTCAGGGCGCGCCCGGGATCCGAACCCAGGCTGCCAGTAGAGAAGCGCGCGCACTTAACTGCTAAGCCAAGGGGCTGGCCCCTAACAAAAGCATTTATACAACAATCCTCAGGCCCTTGAAGTTTTCTAACTGGATTTCAAG